GTAATTTGGAGAGTCCAAGTACATAGCTATTTTTGCAGTGGTGAAATCCAAATTTTTTTTCTACCGGTTCTGTGGGCGTGGCTTGGTGGGCGTGGTATGGCTTGGTGGGTGTGGCTTGGTGGGCAAAGGATACTGCAAAATCTCCATTCCCTCCCACTCCTGGAGGAAGGATACTGCAAAATCTCCATTCCCGCACCACTCCTGGGGCCAGCCAGAGGTGGTAGTTGCCGGTTCTCCGAACTGCTCAAAATTTCTGCTACCGGTTCTCCAGAACCTGTCAGAACCTGCTGGATTTCACTCCCGTATTTTTGGTATGATGAGTGTGCAAGTTGCTTTTTTGCTTTTTGGTTCAAAACTTCTTCGCACCCGTTATGTGGAATGCTCCTTTTGAGACCATTATGAGTTCTCCTTAACACGACATAAAGATCTGCAAGTTGATTGAATGAGACTTTGTAAGGATTCCTTCACCCTGTAGGACCATTTTCGGAGTTCCATGTCAAGCTGTCCTGCTCAATCTTTGGAGGAATTTGAACCCTGTGATTGCTCCGTGTTCTTTCCTCTTCCCTCTCCTGCCAAAGCTTTATGCAAAATTTCCCACAGAGAGCATTCTTCCAGACCCAACAGGTTGAGGTAATAAATCATCTGTCATTTTTTCAGATGAAGGAAAAGAATAAATTGGGAGGGTGGAGGAAACTGGGGTGTGGGGTTAGTGATGGAAACAGCCTGAGAATTAGTTGCAACATTTAACACTTGGGAGACGAGGGACAATTGACACAGGTTGTCCCTTAGGTGCCTGAGGCCCAGGAGTGGAATCCAGCAGGTTCTGACAGGTTCTGGAGAACTGGTAACGGAAATTTTGAGCAGTTCGGAGAACCAGTAGTGGAAATTTTGAGCAGTTCGGAGAACCGGTAAATACCACCTCTGGCTGGCCCCAGAATGGGATGGGAATGGAGATTTTGCAATATCCTTCCTCCAGGAGTGGGGTGGGAATGGAGATTTTGCAATATCCTTTCCCCAAGAGTGGGGAGGGAAGGGGGATTTTGCAGTATACTTCCCCCGGAGTGGGGAGGGAATGGGGATTTTATAATATCCTTCTCCCAGGAGTGGGGAGGGAATGGGGATTTTGCAATATCCTTCCCCTGGAGTGGGGTGGGAATGGAGATTTTGCAGTATCCTTCCCCTGCCACACCCACCAAGCCACACCCACCAAACCACGCCCACAGAACCAATAGTAAAAAAAATTGGATTTCACCACTGCTGAGGCCATACCTTGGGCAAAAGAAGTGAGATAATGGGCAATCACGATGTGAAATGTGAAGAAAGTTCAAAACATTCTTAAAGATCCATCTCATCCTGGGCACCCTTTTTTTTTTAACTATTACCATCTGGCAGACGGTACAGGAAAATAAAAACAAGGACAAATAGGCTGAAAAACAGCTTCTACCCCAGGGCAGTAACTATATTGAATTCTATCTTATAGTGCAATATTAATGCAATATCAAGGGGTTTCAATTCATTTGTATAGAATATGAAGGATGTTTTTGTTTTATGTATAATGTACACTGATGATGGCATTTAATTTCGTTGTTCGATGTGCAATGACAATAAACTAAACTAAACTAAATCTAAGCTTGTGGCATTCACTTAGGCAGTTCATTAACATTCATAACGTATTTCGTATTTCGTATTTCGTAATATTCATTTGTCTGGCAATCCTTCCCTTTGGGTCTCATGGCAGTCACAAGCAGGCAAAGCAAAATTTAAATTCTCAGAAGGCTCTAGAACAGAACCTTCTTAACCTTGGCAACTTGAACATGTGTGGACTTCAAATCTCAGAATTCCCCATGTTGAAGTTGAAGTCCACACATCTTCAGGTTGTCAAGGTTAAGAAACTCTGTCTAGAGCTTTGGATGGAGCGTGCTTTGGGGCATTCCTGGACTTCGATGTCTACCTCCGACTTGCCAGTAAGAAGGTATTCTAAGGGAGAATGGCCAACTTGGAGATCACAGATGCAGCTTCTCTCTCTCAAAGACCTCAATAATCTGAAGTCTTATCTATATTTCCCTGCTCCAAACTCTTTTCTTTGTAATCTTGCAGGCTTGAGAAGAACTGGTCACCAAGAATTTGGGAGAGCTTCCAACATTTCTCAGGGATGGGATGGAGACACATCTACTCAGTCCTTTCCCCTCCGTCTTGACCCCTTTGCAAGACAGAAGCCCACCTCACGTTTCCCCTCAGGAAATTCCTCTTCCCCTTTCTTATTTGCTGCTCCTTCTGTGTTGAAGGCTGTTCATTTCCAAGGAGGAGTTGGAGATAACATTCTTTTGAAAAAAAAAAGAAGAAGAAGAAAAGAAATCATCCATGTCATGGAAACAAAGTCAGAATTCTGGTTCTGCAGAAACATGTTCAGAAAGAAAAGCTTGTGTTGTAATGGATGAGAATTAAAGGCTGAAGAAGACCAAAAAAAACCCCCCCACAAAAAATCCTTAGGAACTTCCTTAATTAACTTATACCACAAATTTCTGCCTGTGGAACAGGCCACGAATGGCCAAAGACCAGAAGATGAGGACCAGTTCTCATCAGCTAGCAAGAAAGTCTAAAATTTGAAACCCCAAACATCCCAAGGATGTTGGGTGTCCTTGCAATTCCCAAGGAGACATACAAGAAAGAACGCATTTCATCCTAGAGAGGAATACGACAAAGAGTGACAGCCAACAATTGTATATGTATTACAGTTGGTCCTCCATTTACAACCATCCACTTAGTGATCAGTTGGAGCTGCTTAGGAACCAGTTGGAGCTACCTACAAGAGGTCCTCGCGCTTATGATTGTCACAACATATCCACAGTCACGTGGTTAAAATTTGGGTATTTGGCAGCTAGCATTTTGGTGACCTGTGTCCTGGGGTCATGAGTGACAAGCTAGGTCAAGGGACAAAGCCTGATTTACTGCACAATCTTGTCATTGACTCAACAACTGAAGAGATTTGTTTAACAACTGTGACCAAAAAGAAGTCATGAAATTGGATGCAACTCATTTAACAATCACCTCGCTTAACAATGGAAATTCTGCTTCCAATTGTCGTCCTAGGTCGACTACTTATTTGTATGCGTGTACGTGTATGTGTATTATAATGCCGATATATTTGTGAATCACCACTTCCTGAGTCCATACCACATGCCAAGCGATGAACCATGTTTACAAGCTTTAACACAAAGTTGGAGGGTTCCAAGGGGGAACACAACGGAGGAAAGACAGACTCAAAGGAGTTGTATCTTGAGCATCAAATGCCAGATGAAGAACACCACGAAGGCTGGTGGCATCTCAGAGGCCTACCTCGTCCATTCTGGATGTCGAAGGCTAAATCCTTCGATTTAGAGTTCTTCTTAATTCAACCTTCTGCCTTTCCAGAATGACCATGTCCACTTCATCTCTCTTTGTCTTTCTGTGCGCCAAAAATGTTGTTTTGCTGAAACCGTGACTAACCCAGAGCTCTCAGCCTCCGTCTTTGGAAATCTTATCTCACACATTAAGCGACCCGAAAGAAGTAGCTTTCTTTCTTTCTCTTTTTTGGGCACCCAACGAAGCATGAAGCACATCCAGGTGTTTCCTCCCTGGGGTTGAGATGGTGACCACAGTGGAGTTGAGAATCTTCTGCAGAAGGAAAAAAAGACAGACAGATAGACAGACGGCCCTGTTCCTTCCCTTCCCCCAACCTGAAGACTCAGTCGCCAGCCAGCTCTGCGTTTTGAAATCCCTGTGGGGCATCTCAGTTCTTCGTTGTGAATTTAAAAAAAGAAGAAGAAACAAGTTTTAGAGCAAGGGAGCAGCCTTCTTCTAGACCAGGGGTCTCCAACCTTGGCAACTTTAAGACTTGTGGACTTCAACTCCCAGAATTCCTCAGCCAGCAAAGCTTGGCAACTTTAAGACTTGTGGAGTTGAAGTCCACAAGTCTTAAAGTTGCCAAGGTTGGAGACCCCTGGTCTAGACCAAAATGTGGCCTTTTGGCTAACAAGCAAGATTAGACCTCTGTTTGCGCAGAAGAAAAATGGCGTCCTATCAATCCAAGAGAGCAAATCCCCTTTGGATTATAATATGTGCCTCTTTGGAGAGGCTGTTTCATAGCCACAACAAGATTTAGGAGTGGACCCATGGATTCTCTGGAGTTTCACTGGTGCACCTCTGTTTGTCAGAAGATGACTCCTGATTCATTTGGTTCGGTCTTATCTTCTCTTTGTTGTTGTTAATTGTGAAGTCGTGTCTGACCCATTGCAACCCCATGGACAACGTTCCTCCAGACCTTCCTGTCCTCTACCATCCCCTGGAGTCCATTTAAGCTCACACCTAGTGCTTCATTGACTCCATCCAGCCACCTCTTTCTCTGCCGTCCCCTTCTTCTTTTGCCCTCCATCGTTCCCAGCATTAGGCTCTTCTCCAGGGAGTCCTTCCTTCTCATTAGGTGGCCAAAGTATTTGAGTTTCCTCTTCAGGATCTGGCCTTCTAAAGAGCAGTCAGGGTTGATCTCCTCTAGGACTGACCGGTTGGATCTCCTTGCAGTCCAAGGGACTTCTCTATCTTCTCTAACTGGTCCCAACTCTGAGAAATGATCTCTCAGGCTGGTTTTTAGTGGAGATCCTAAATTCAGTATATAAATGTGGATAGGTAAAACACACGTTTTGTTTTCTATGACCCAGAGGCACTAAAGCTCATGTACATCTTGGGACGATCCCAGCCTAAGATGCAGTGCAACCTTCTCGCTTGGGTCTTCTGAGATACCATCGCCACCACCTCCTCCTCCTCCTCCTTCTCAGCTAGGACCATGTTTCGCACTGCAGCATCTTCCACAACAAACAGCACAGAGTGAAAGGGAGGGAGGGAAACAAAAAAAAAAAAACTGTGGTTAGAGGATGTGACAACGTCACACCCCACAGCAGAAACCTGGTCTCTCCTTTTGTGTGTGTGTTTTAAATAAATCTGAAACAGGCATGCTGACAGGGTGATATCACATAAAAGAAATATCCCCCAAGCCCCCCACAACAACAAGATCAAGAGAGACCAGAGGGGGATTCCTCCCTGCAGACATGCATTGGCAAAAATGTGAGTTGTGAAGTCTTCTTCTTCTTCTTCTTCTTCTTTTCATAACTTGAGCAAATGCCAAGGAAGCTGTTGGCAGCTGAACGGCAGAACGGTAAAAGAGATTCTGCTTGTTTCCCAAAATACTTTTTTTACATCTTTACGGCGCTGATGCTCCTACAGGGTAGGTCCTTCACGAGAAGAGAAGGTAAGGATGAGAAGATGCGGCTTCCCGAAGATCTCCTGAAGGAGATCCAAGGCAGGAGAACCTCACTAGGAGGTGCGCCTCGATCTAGCACCAACCTAGCTGGAATTTATAAAAGAGGAGATCTGTAGCTTTCAGTTCTCCTCCACAAGGAAAGGGGAGACGGGTGAGATCAGCAGGTCCCATCAAAGGGGAGTAAAATCAAAGGCCCAATTTGCAGACAGAGGGGGACGAAAGAAATTCAAGCACAAGATTTACACCTTGCAAAGGGGCTTATACATTTCCCATTTATATAATAACAGCTGGGGCTTTTTTTCCCCCAACCCTCTCCACGCTTCTGAGAGAGTTAGTCACTACAGCGCAAGTGTCATGGAACAATTCACAATTGCAGCCTAGTTTTTTAAAAAAACAACAAGAAAATGCTCGCGTGGTGCTCAGCGCAAACACATTTTTCATTTTGGATTGGGCCCCTGCTTTTTTTAAAAAAAAATGTGAAATAATAAGGAAACGGGGAACGAGGTCTCCCTGACAGAGATAGTGAACCCAAGTACGGTACATAAAACTATTTAGACAGGAAAATTTTTCATAGAGTCGCTGCAGGCAAACCTCTTAAGAACTTTTCTTTAGCCACAAGCTAGCAGAGTTAGTCAGACGTAATCCTCACAGATCTTCAAGGGGTAAGTAAGGTCTGAAGTAAGTTGCATAGACGTGGAGCTTCAGTGCTCTTGCTAGGTGTCATGTAACGGTAAAGGATCCCCCTCGCATATATGTCCCAGTCGTTCCCGACTCTAGAGGGCGGTGCTCATCTCCGTTTCAAAGCCGAAGAGCCAGCGCTGTCCGAAGACGTCTCCGTGGTCATGTGGCCGGCATGACTCAATGCCAAAGGTGCACGGAACACTGTTACCTTCCCGCCAAAGGTGGTTCCTATTTTTCTACTTGCATTTTTTACCTGCTTTCAAACTGCCAGGTTGGCAGAAGCTGGGACAAGTCACAGGAGCTCACCCTGTTGCGCGGCGCTAGGGATTCGAACCGCTGAACTGCCGACCTTTCGATCGACAAGCTCAGCATCTTAGCCACTGAGCCACCGCATCCTTCGAAGGTGTCATGTACAGTATAGTAATTATGAATTAACTGACCTGATCAAGAAAAGAAAAAATACATTCACCCATAGCAAATCAAAAGAAGTCAAATGTACTTTTAAAAGCTTGGCTCGTGGTTGCTCATACCTTAGTCAGCCTTCCGTCTGGACTACTGCAATGTGCTTTACCTGGGGCTGCCCTTGAAAACCACCTGGAAACTTTAACTGGTCCAGGATGCCACTGTGCACAGAATAATGGGGACCCCCCTATTTTTGTCCATGTAACTTCCCTGTTGCTTAAGGTGCATTGGGTACCAGGTGCAATTCAGGTGCAGGACCAAAGGAATCTAGCTTTCCTACCAGGCCCAATAGAGTGTGCACACTCCTTCTCCTTTCCTTTAAATATTGCCATCTTATGTGCGCTAGGAAATGTGTCTTTTCCGTGGCAGACGCTGCCCTGTGGAACTCCCTCCCACATGAAATTCGGCAGGCCTCCCCCCTCTCCTAGACTTCAGTAAAGGTCTGAAGACCTCAGCTGTAAGATTAGTAAATAAGGAAGACAGATAAACAGATACCAATTAGATGAGAATTTTGACTTGATGCCGAGTCTTTTGCTGTTTTTAATGTTTTATTGTGTTTAAAGGTTTCTTGTTTTAATACAATTTTGTATGGCATTTTAACTTTGGATTGGGAGTTGCCCAGAGATGGTTCTGAGATGAGTGGCTATATACATGTTTAAATAAAATAAAATAAATATAAAGCGAAACACACTATAACAGCGGTTAAGTAAACCACGATAATATCAAAACTATAAAGCCAACGTGATTTTATTTGAAAGTCACTCTAACGTGAGCAGAAATTCAAAGAATTGCCCTGTTTGAGATATCAGGAATGAATGGTCCGGATGGAAAGGCAGATTGTCTTCATCTGAAATCAGACAGAGTTCAACCTTTGTTGCTGAATAAGTTGCTAGTTGCAGAGCTTCAAAAACCGGACAGCAGACAATAGATTTAAACAGAAAGCAGAATAATCTCCAAGTATAACCTTTGAACGCTGGTGCTGGAGAAGACTCCTGCAAGTTCCTTTGGACTGCAAGGCCATCCAACCGGTCAGTCCTAGAGGAGATCAACCCTGACTGACCGCTCTTTAGAAGGCCAGATCCTGAAGATGAAACTCAAATACTTTGGCCACCTAATGAGAAGGAAGGACTCCCTGGAGAAGAGCCTAATGCTGGGAAAGATTGAGGGCAAAAGAAGAAGGGGACGACAGAGAAAAAGGTGGCTGGATGGAGACACTGAAGCAGTAGTGGTGAACTTAGAATAGAATAGAATATAGAATAGAATAGAATTTTTTATTGGCCAAGCTCTCTGGGACTTGGCTGAGGAGCCTTGCTTCAGCCAACTGTGGTTTGAGAGAAGGTGTGGACATGATCGGAGCAACTGCAGTTGAGCATTTTTCAAATGTCAGCCACGCAAAAGTGATTTGCTTATTCAGAAGACAATCCGGTTGAATTCAGTGGATCTTCCTCTCAAGCTCTCTGTTTGATTCTGGACTCTGTGTGGCTTTGCCAAGTAGATCTTTGGCAGAGTGTCAAGGGAGATAAAGGTTGGTGCTTATCCCGAAGGATTTCTCCCAAAGGACTTTTTGCAACTAATTGGGACTCAGCTGTGAATGAACGTAATTCACAGCCGTTGCAATAAAAGAGGGTTTGGGAACTACTCGTGTGTTTTAATGACTCAGGAAGCCTGGGTCACAACAGTGTCACCTGAGTGGTGCAAATTGGTGTGGAGCCTTCTTGGAACCGTTGAAAGGACTGTTGTCGATTGGAGATACATGAGGTCGTATCCCTCCCGCTCTGTTGAGAGAGGGCTGTTCAATTTTGACATAGGTGGCCTCAACTCTCAGAGTGTTTTCATGCTTAGCCTCTCTTGGATGTGCGTTTCCGGAGCCCTTCGCTGGCGGATCAGGGGGAAGGCTCAGAACCCATGTCTGAAAAACTTAAAACAGTGATACTGAGAGACGAAACAGCAAGGTGGCTGATCATGCCCATCTCCGCTCAGGCACAGCCGCCTTGGGGACACCAAGACCCCCCCATGGGGATAGATGAGTTAACTGAAACTTTGCACACCAGCTGCTCACCGATGACAAGGCCAGCAGGATTTTCAAAACTTGTTTTTTTTTAAAAAAAAATAAAATAATCGTATCAGTCTGAACGTGGGTTACCAGGGCAAGGAGAACTTCACAAGAATGAGGCTGGGTCAGCTCGGCGTTGCCAAGTTCACACTTTTGTACTTATCCGTTTGGCTTTCAGAAAGCAAAGAACCCTTTTCCCCAGAGAGCACCAGAACCTGTGTCAATTTCGCAAGCGGGCCCTGTGGGTGCCCTCCTGTGAACACGACTCGACAAGCTCGGAGCTGTGCAATATTGACACTGCCAGGGCATCTGGACAGGGTGCCAAATTGAGGGCCCCAGGCTCACGAATGAGGCGATAGGGCAATTGACAAGCGAATAAACAAACCTGATCTTCGACTGGTTGACTTAGCTCTTAAGTTGGCAACACCAATGCTGTGAGGCAGGAGGGGTTTCCCACAGATCCAGCCTGTTACCCAACCTCACACTTGCCAACTAGGGAGAAGGTCTACGGGAGGTCAGAGAGAGATTTGTTTCCCATGTCTCCTTCTAAAATGGAGCTTTGGAGATTTTCTATTCTCCTTAACCTCCTATCCCAGGACAACTGTTCTATCTTTGGGGTGGGCATTCAAGACAATCACCTCTCAACAGTGACTAGCTATGACAGCAAAACAGAACCTCAAATTTCAGGTTGTAGAAACAGAACCTCGAGTTTCAGGTTCTAGATTCAGCGTTGGTGGGGAGAGAAACAATGCCCAGCAGCTTGGTCTTCGAGACATGCAGGTGATCTGCTGGGAAACATAGCTGGAAGCAGGATGCTGGATTGGAGAGACCTTAGTGTGGAATCAGTATCCACTGGATGGATCTAATATGGATGTTCTCCAGATGTTCTTCAAAACAGCTTCCAAGTAGGTCCAAGAAGACAGCATTCTCCCTCCTGATGCTGTATGCATTTCTCTCTATCGGCCTCTTTGCGTTTATGCTATCAAGTTTTCTCTTAAAATTAGCCCTAGCTGTAACTGCTCCATCTTTCCAGTTGGCTCTGTAAAAGGAAGGAAGAAGTGATAAGCTGGCCAACAGCTGTTTCCTCCAACTACTCGCCATCAATATTTTGCTATCTTCTAGTTCACTCAAGCTTTTCTTCCTGATACTTTGCTCTGATGTTTGCCTGTTCCCTGTCACATTCACCTCCAGCTGGTTTGGCTTGGTCTGGAGTTCTGGTTCCTAGACCTGAGAAAGGGTTTCATCTCTTGGACTTCCTCCTGCTGTTTTCCCTTTCTCTCCTTCTACAATCCTATGGCTCCTTGCTTGTTTAGTCCACTTCTCTGGGCCAAGTTTCTTTTCTCAAATATCTGAATAATGTCCCAATCTTATTATTGTAAATACGATTCACATGATTTAATCGTTTTGCTCCTGGCAATGATTGGACCTTGATGTCATGTCCATGTTGAGTTGAGTTGGACTTTTAGTGACCTCCTTGTATACAGCAATGCCATTTTCTTGAACACAATCCCATAGTAATCTGCTCTTCTTCTTCAGAGATTCTGAGAGCTCTCCAATCTCCTGCGGGCCTCCCTTCCAACTTTTTAACATTTCCATCTGGCATTGTCCACCCCCTAAACGGGGGTCAAAAGGTGATATTAAGCCATAAAGTAACTCATTTGGCCTTGGGCTAACCATGTTGAGGAACTAAGCGAATTGTTATTTTTTTCCCCCAATATGCAGCAGTTCAACAAACCATGGTTTTGCATATTTTATGAATCCAGCTAGTACTTACCAACCTCTGAATCTGGTGTAGCATCATAGACCTTGTATGTTTCTGTGCTTATCAGAGGTATCCACAATATATGGTCAATATAGGTGAAGAGTAATGTCAAAACTGGAGTCTACCAACCCATGTTGCTCTTCAAAAGTTCTGGAGGAATAAAGTCAACTCCGGAGGTCTTCTCCTTCCTGAGTTGACCAAGGTGGGACTTAATTTCAGGCAAGATATTGGGAGCCGCTCAGGTAAGTCCTCCATCTTTTTCACTGAGGTCTCAGTGGAGGCATCTTTGTACATCCTCTGAAAATGTAACTCCAAGGTTTCAGGAGGATATAGTCAAATAAAGTGGTGTCTCTGATGGGGCAATTGAAGCACCATTTGCTTTTCATGGATGATGGACTAACACAGATACCTTCTTGACTTGTTTGATGGAACCATGTGGATAAGTCTTGAGGGACATAAGTATCTTGGTTCCAAACTAGATTATGAGCTCCTCCTGACCTATAGGGTGTTGCTTCGGTCTGCTAGAAAGGAAGCTGAGGTTTTAAAGGACCTTGCAGAGTGCTCTGTAAGGATTTTTAGAAGATTTTAAGATGGGATTTTAACCAGAATTTTAAACATTTTAATTAACTTATTTACAATGACGCAGGAAAACACCTGAGATTTTAATTTTTTGCATATGTATACCCGCGAAAACCTAAGAAGACAGATATATAGATATATATATATGTGTGTGTGTGTGTTTTCTGAGGTTTTTGCAGGTGTTTGTATGTAGGTCTTTGGTTCTTCGGGTTTTCTCCCGCGTAGAACTGGAAGTGTCTTGGCGACGTTTCGACAAAGTCTCATTCGTCATCTTCAGGCTGTTGTCCTTGGCTTCGTGCTTCTAGGAGCAATGTTGCAATGAATATATATATTATGGGCAATGCAAGGGAAGGTGTGAAAAAGCATTTTACGCAATTCCTTTTTAATTTTGTTTTTTTAAAAATTATTATTTTAGTTGCGAGCCAAGATCTCCAACTGGCTGGCTAATAAAACACTCGGATTAAGTTTTACGATAGTTATTCTTTGCGAGTGTGTGTGTGTGTGTATGTGTGAGAGAGAGTGTGTGTGTTTGTTTCTTTATCAAGCAAAACGTTTGCTTTTCAAGGCCTTCTACAAACAGGAAAAGATTTCCATTGTGGCTTCTCAAAAGCTTATTATTTTAATGTTATTGTGCGCAATTATATTGGAGAACCAAGTGGGGGGAGGGGAAGAGAGAGGAGGGAGGGAAGAGGGAGAAAAAACACAACTATTTGCTTTCATTTGCACAGCAAAAAAATTAATAAAGCAGATTGGTTCTCACCTGCCAAAGTCTTGGGTGTAAAGTCCGAACTCTGAGTTTCAAACAGAGTCAGCCAAGCAAAGCCTCTTAGGATGACAGTTGTGTGTTTCCAAAGGGAAGTTGGCTTGAGGAGCAATGGGTGAGATTGGTGTGAATTAAGTCCCTTTAAAAAAAAAACACTTTAGAAGGAGCTTAGAGATGCCAATGGAAAGTTGGCAGATTTCACTAAAGGAGACTCTGCTGGGTTTTGCAAAGGACGGGTGCCAACTCCAGCTTCTCTGCTCCTTGGAAAGGCGGGGACAGTGTAGTCCTTGGTGCTCTCTGAGCCTGGGTGTTTTCCTGCAGACGTTTCATGACCCAACTAGGTAACATTATCAGTGCTAGAAGGGAGTGGGGATTTGTAGAAAGGAGGAGGAGGAGGTGGAGGAGGATGAAGAGGAGGAGGAGGAGGGAGGAGGAGGAGAAGGAAGACTCTGAGATTGATTGTTTACTTGCAGACATTTCATTTCATTTATTTATTTATTTTATTAAATTTCTATACCGCCCTTCTCCCGAAGGACTCAGGGCGGCGAACAGCCAAAAGATAAAACACAAAGATACAAAATTTAAAATAGATTAAAACAGATTAAACAATTTGGCTAAATTTTAAAAATATCCCATAATTAAACAAATTAAAATTAGTGTTTAAAATTTAAATTTTAAAATTTTAAAAGGGAGAAGATTTAGGCCAGGCCAGCTTAATGAAATAAAAACATTTTAAAAACGTTGCTAGAAGAGAATGGGGATTTGTGGAAAGGAGGAAGAGGAGGAGGAGGAGGAGGATGAAGAGGAGGAGGAGGAAGGAGGAGGAGGAGGAAGACTCTGAGATTGATTGTTTACTTACAGACATTTCATTACCCCACTGCGTAGTGTCATCAGTGCCGCCGAATGGATAAGTCGATGAATTAAATCACCGACACTCTCTAATTTTAAAGATAGAGAGCTCAAGTAAATTGTCATTTTAAACTGGGGCCAAATTAATATATATTCTTTGAATTGTTTTTAATGTTTGTATTGTATGTTTTTATCTGGCTGTACACCGCCCTGAGTCCCTTGGGAGAAGGTGCGGTATATAAATTCGAGATAAAAATAAAAATAAATAAATAAATCATCTGGGAATGTCAAGGTAATGCCCCCATAGCTGGTGTAATGTCACATTCGTCATAATTTGGAAGGTTGTCCAAAGATTTAAGACTGGTTTTGAAAGCATTTACATCCAGTTAATTATTTATAGCTTGCTTTTTTTTTTTAATTAAAAAAAATAATAATACAGAATCAGCTTTTCCCCACCCCAATCCCGGAAAGCTTTGTTTGCACTATAATTCCCAGGATGTCATTTATTGATTTATTGATTCACATTCTACAAGACACCTGTCTCTCACAAGGGACTCAATTAAACCAATTAAAAACACAATAAAAAATTAAAAAATTCCCACAGGATGCCAGACTCACATTGCAAACAATCACGCTGTTCCTTAGTTCAGGGTTTTTCAAATTTGGCAAGAGGACTAAACTTCATGGCTGGCTGGGGAATTCTGGGAGTTGAAGTCTGCCTCTCTTACACTTGCCAGGTTTGAAAAAAAATGCTGATTTTTCAAAAACGTCATCTAAAACGTCATCAAAAAAGCACAACAAAGAATGTTCTTTCTGCGCCAACTCAGGAAGCTCAAACTGCCCAAGGAGCTGCTGATCCAGTTCTACAGAGGAATTATTGAGTCTGTCATCTGCACCTCTATAAGTGTCTGGTTTGGTTCTGCAACCCAACAAGACGGACACAGACTTCAGAGGATCATTAGAACTGCAGAAAAAACAATGGCTACCAACCTGCTTTCCACTGAGGACTTGTATACTGCACGAGTCAAAAAGAGGGCTGGGAAAATATTTATAGACCCCTCGCATCCTGGACATAAACTGTTTCAACTCCTACCCTCAAAACGACACTATAGAGCACTGCACACCAGAACAACTAGACACAAGAACAGTTTTTTCCCGAACGCCATCACTCTGCTAAACAAATAATTCCCTCAACACTGTCAAACTAGTTATTAAGTCTGCGCTACTATTAATCTTCTCATTGTTCCCACCATCCATCTCCTCCCACTTATGACTGTATGACTGTAATTTTGTTGCTGGTATCCTTACGATTTATCTTGATATTTTTTTCCTGATTGCTTATTTGTACCCTATGACTATCATTGAGTGTTGTACCTTATGATTCTTGACGAATGTGTCTTTTCTTTTATGTACACTGAGAGCGTATGCACCAAAGACAAATTCCTTGTGTGTCCAATCACACTTGGCCAATAAAAAATTCTCTTCTCTTCTCTTCTCTTCTCTTCTCTTCTCTTCTCTTCTCTTCTCTTCTCTTTAAATGAAGCATCTTTGCAGCACTAAAGAGGGAACTAACGCTCTTATTTTTCTAGCTTCTGCAGCTGAGCAGCCCCTGCCGTCCCGCCCCTACCAAGGAGTCCGGGTTAAAGAGCCGGTGAAAGAGTTACTGAAGAGGAAACGGGGCAGCGCTCAAAATGCCAAAGTTGCTCCTGAAAGCATGGCGGTAAGAGACAGCCGGGCAGAAGGCTGGGCATCTTTCTATCTACTGCTTCATCCTTGCCCTTCCACGATCCCTCCTGGGACAGGATCCCTCTGGCTTGTCACGAGCCACTTCCGTTAGAGCAGCGTCTCTTAAGCTTGTCAACCTTAAGATGTGTCGAGTTCAACTCCCAGATTCCCCCAACCACCATGGTTTAAGATATGTGGATTTTAACCCCCAGAATCCCTCAACCACCATGATTCATCATGTGTGGACTTCAATTCCCAGAATTCTCCAGCCACCATGGTTAAAGATCTGTGGATTTCAACTCCCAGAATCTCCCAACCACCATGCTTCATCATGTGTGGACTTCAGCTCCCAGAATCCTCCAGCCACCATGTTTTAAGATCTGTGGACTTCAATTCCCAGATTCCTCCAACACCATGGTTTAAGATGTGTGGACTTCAACTCCCAGAATCCCTCAACCACCATGCTTCATCATGTGTGGACTTCAATTCCCAGATTCCCCCAACAGCCATGCTTTAAGATGTGTGGATTTTAACTCCCAGATTACCCCAACAGCCATGATTCAAGATGTATGGACTTCAACTCCCAGAATCCCCCATTCAGTTGTCTGGGGAATTCTGGGAACTGAAGTCCACACAGCTTCAAGTGACCAATTTTGAAAAAAACACACTGCTTTAGAACGATGAGCTGTACATCCTCTGGCCCTAACCACCTCTGACACTAAAACCAGATGTCGCCACATCAGTAACAGTGATGAAAACAGATTTTGGTCCAGGGTGTGAACATTTGAGAGTTTTCCACCCTCCTCGAACACATTTCTTTCCTTCTGACCCTTCAGTCTTGAGTTGCCGTTTGAGCATTACTGATAGTTTCCTAGTCAGCCTCTGAGTAATTCCTCTCTTTGTGGTTTATCGCTCTTAAATAATACCAACCTCTAATTTTTCCTTTAGCTGTTTTTCCCCCACCAGTCGCTTCCATCCTACTCGCCCACTGGTAAGAGTTTCAGATTTTTTGGGGGGGTGGCTTTTCCTCCTCCCCAAAAGCACATCTTTCCTCGTTCTCCATCTTCGGTTCAGCTTCACCTTTTCCCTTTCTCTCTTTCCGTGAAGGTCAAGTTTACTCCGAGACAGATTTGGTCACCTCGTCGCTGCCTCTGATGGAGGAAGGAGCACTTTATTCGGGGTGGTTGACTCAGCCACCCCCGGCCACATTGCAACCTCTGACTCAGTGGACCACGTCCCCGGAGTACGTGTCTCACGAAGCGGTCAGCTGCCCTTACACGGCCGACATGTTTGTTCAGCCGGTCTGCCCCAGTTACACACTCGTGGGGACATCCTCGGTGCTGACCTACACTTCTCAGCCACTGATCACAAACTTTGCGGTGAGTTTGATAATGGCACCAGTGGTGAAATCCAATTTTTTTTTTACTACCGGTTCTGTGGGCGTGGCTTGGTGGGCATGGTGTGGCTTGGTGGGCGTGGCAGGGGAAGGATATTGCAAAATCCCCATTCCCTCCCCACTCCTGGGGGAAGGATATTGCAAAATCCCCATTCACTCCCCACTCTGGGGCCAGCCAGAGGTGATATCTGCCAGTTCTCTGAACTACTCAAAATTTCTGCTACCGGTTCTCCAGAAGCTGTCAGAACCTGCTGGATTTCACCCCTGTATGGGATCTTCTGTGTGATCGTTGGCTTTTTTCTTTCTACTGTGGGGTAGGAGGCAGGGTGGAAATTTTCCAAAGTTTGCTGGATGTTTCCCTTCTCTTTGAGTTCCATGGACATGGTCTCCCCACCACACAAGGTCTTCCATATCAATAGAAATAGCACTTAGATTTATATACCCACTTCGCAGTGCTTCACAGCCTTCCCTAAGCGGTTTACAGAATCAGCCTCTTGCCCCCAACAATCTGGGTCCTCATTTTACCCACTTCAGAAGGACGGAAAGCTGAGCTTGAGCTGGTGAGACTCGAACTGCCAAATTGCAGGCAGCTGGCAGTCAGCAGAATTAGCAACAGTACTGCATTCTAACCACTGTGCCACCATGGCCCTTCCTTCCTTCCTTCCTTCCTTCCTTCCTTCCTTCCTTCCTTCCTTCCTTCCTTCCTCCCTCCCTCCCTCCCTCCCTCCCTCCCTCTCTCCCTCCTTCCCCTCCCTTCCTTCCCACTTAGCACTAGGCCTTATAAACCACTTGGTAAGGCCACACTGGGAATACTGCATCCAATTTTGGTTGCCATGATGTAAAAAATATGTGGAGACTCTAGAAAGAGTGCAGAGAAGAGCAACCAAAATGATTAGGGGACTGGAGTCTAAAACATACAAACAATGTTTGCAGGAACTGGGTATGTCTAGTTTAATAAAAAGAAGGACTAGGGGAGACATGATAGCAGAGTTCCAATATCTCAGGGGCTGCCACAAAGAAGAGGGAGTCAACCTATTCTCCAAAGCACCTGAGGGCAGGACAAGAAGCAATGGGTGGAAACTAATCAAGGAGAGAAGCAACTTAGAACTAAGGAGGAATTTCCTGACAGTGAGAACAATTAATCAATGGAACAACTTGCCTCCAGAAGTTGTGACTGCTCCAACACTGGAAGTTTTTAAGAAGATGTTGGACAACCATTTGCCTGAAGTGGTGTAGGGTTTCCTGCCTAAGCAGGGGGTTGGACTAGAAGACCTCCAAGGTCCCTTCCAACTCTGTTATTCTATTCTATTCTATTGTGTTATTTGCAATTCGGCTGCCCAGAGGGTTTCCTCCAGAACATTTGCACATGGTCAGTGAGCCTTAGTCAAAATTGCAACTAAGCCAAATACCAGCAAGGGGAATTCATTATCCCGGGGTGTGGAAACACTCCTAGGAAATATGCAATGAGCATTCTGCAAAGATTTGAGCAGCTGGTCAATATTTAACATCAAGGTTCTCAGAGGACCAGGGCGAGTGGGATGTTTCTTGGATGCAAATTTTCTCAGCTACGGATTGTAGCCCCCAGGTGGGTGACCGAAGGATGGGCGTTTGGGTGAGAAAGGAAAGCATCCTTTTGTGATGATTGTTTCCAGGGCAGGAAAAAAAAATGTATGAAAGAATGGGAAAGAGAGGTCACACCATTGTCAGGTTTCGGCCCTAAGTGGGTCAAACAAAGAGCTTCACGGTTCTAATTCCCAGCTTGGGCATTAATTGTAATTAAAGACTGCCATAAATTGCATTGTTCTGTCTCGGGACTCAGAATATTGAGTATCACATTTGAATATCTGCAGGGAGAACCCGGATGATATATTTCAAATTTTCTCCTCGTGAATCACCGCCACCGTTGTGCTGTATTTTGCAGGTGGATCTCAAGTGCAATTATAGAATAACAGCGTTGGAAGGGACCTCGGAAGTCTTCTAGTCCAGTGGTCACCAACTGGTGGTCCGTGGACCACTGGTGGCCTGCGAGAAAATTTTGGTGGTCCGCAGAAAAATTATTTGCATTTTTTTATGTTGCACTAAATCAGGGGTCCTCAAACTACGGTCCCTGGGACAGATGTGTGCAATGAACGTTTGTGTTGCTGCAGAGAGTCTCCCCCTTCAGGGTCTTTTTGTGTGGGTCAGAGGAGGAGGCAGAAATTCCGACTCGGGGTCTGCTTCAGCCTCCTGGTGTGGGGCTTTGGGCGAAGGCTGGAGGGAAGCACCGCTGGTGGCAAAGAGCTGGAGGGCCTCCTTCCAGTGGGACTGCATCATGGTCTGGAACTGGATGACCATCTCAGCCTGCTGAGCCTCCAGGTGCCGGTACCTGGCCTTGCACTCCTGCAGGTCTTCCCTCTGCTTGGAAAGCCTATGCTCCTAGTCCTCAGTGAGGTGCTTCTGCTGAGCCTCCTTCTCAGTCAGATCGAATTTGAACTGAGCAGCTGTTTTGCCAACTCTTTCTCTTAGCTCCAACAACTGCTTCCTGTTGGGGCCCTAAGGAGCCCAGGCGGGCAGGCGGGCAAGTGCAAGGACTGCTTGCAAGTGCAAGAACTGGTTATAAGTGCAAGGACTAGTTGCAAGTGCAAGGACTAGTTGCAGTGCAAGGACTAGTTGCAAGTGCAAGGACTGGTTATAAGTGCCAAGGACTAGTTGCAAGTGCAAGGACTAGTTGCAAGTGCAAGGACTGCTTGCAAGTGCAAGAACTGGTTATAAGTGCAAGGACTAGTTGCAAGTGCCAGGACTAGTTGCAAGTGCAAGGATTGCTTGCAAGTGCAAGAACTGGTTGTAAGCGCAAGGACTCATTGTAGCTTCACAGCGTTGCTAAAAGTTGCAAGTCAAGGGCCACCTTACAGTATGTTACCCATCTGATGGTCATCTCCAGATCTGCTGGACTGAGAGAGCCCACCATAGATCCAGAGTGAAGCCTGGACCTTCTTGGATCAGAGCCTCAGTTTCTGGGGAGAAAGACTGACCCACATGTTTTTTTTTTGTCCCACAGGCTCGATCGGCCACAAGCCCAGCTGTGGTGCCTCATCTGGATGTGATGGACCAGCAAGCTCCCCTGAGCTACTTCCCCTGGACTCAGCCCATCCCAACTTTACCAGCAACTTCCTTGCAATACCAGCCAGCTTCGATGGCCCTCTCTGCTCCCCAATTTGTCCCCCTCCCCATTTCGGGAGCTGACCCACTCCCCCAAGTATTAGAAGACACCAGGAAGGAGATGGCCCCTCTGACACTCGAGAAACTTCTGCAGGACGACACAAACGACACGTACGATTTAAACAACAGCCTGCCGGTTGAAGGACTCTGAGACTGGATTTTGAGCCAAGAGAGATCCTCAAATCTCTGTGGTTCCGTTCCATTCCTTCCTTCCTTTTCTTCTCTTCTTCCTTCCTTCTCTTTCTGCCTTTCACTGTCGTTTCTAGGTGACCCTCAGCTTCTTTTGCTTTCTTTCCAAAGTTTCAGAAATGTGGGATGGAAACACCAGGATCTGTTTTGGAAAAGAAGCTGCAATTTTGAATCTTTGCAACCAGAATTTTGCAACTAAATAGCCTCCTTCTCCTCCTTCTCCTTCTCCTTCTCCTTCTCCTTCTCCTTCTCCTTCTCCTTCCTCCTCCTCCTCCTTCCTCTTCCTCTTCCCCTTCCCCTTCCCCTTTCTCCTCCTCCTCCTCCTCCTTCTTCTTCCTCCTCCTCCTCCTTCTTCTTCCTCCTCCTCCTTCCTCTTCCTCTTCCCCTTCCCCTTCCCCTTCCCCTTTCTCCTCCTCCTCCTCCTCCTCCTCATCTTCATCTTCTTCTTCTTTTGCACTGTGGGAATGACAAACTTGCCCCAAGAATGTAGCCCCCAAACTCCTTTTGAGATGACTGTGCAGATCTTTTGAGCCCAGTGGTCAAAAATTGACAACGAAATTCCTCCCCCATAATCATGACAACAAAAACAGCCAATCTTTGAGGAAGAGTTAACATTAAAAGTAAAGAGTCCGTTGAGTCAGGGTTGAGTCCAGGAAGGAATTTGCCATTTCCTTCAACTGTTTCCCAAATTTGGAGATCAGATGGAGCAACCACAAACCCAGCTCCTTCTTTCCATACCTCTGAGCCAAATTCTTGCCGAGCGATTCAGAATCTCTTGCTTGGTTAGAGTTTATGGATTGGATGGCATGGAGTTCTGTTTCCCCCTCCCCTTAGAAATCCAATACAGCTCAGTCGAAGCAAGATAGTTTATGCCGTGGCAACTCCCTATTTGGAATCGGGACTTTTTTCTATCTTTGGAAAAGGTTCTAGTTGTTCTTCTTCTTCTTCTTCTTCTTCTTCTTCTTCTTCTTCTTCTTCTTCTTCTTCTTCTTCTTCTTCTTCTTCTTCTTCTTCTTCTTCTTCCTCTTCCTCTTCCTCTTCCTCTTCCTCTTCCTCTTCTTCTTCTTCTTCTTCTTCTTCTTCTTCTTCTTCTTCTTCTTCTTCTTCTTCTTCTTTGATTTATATGCCGCCCTTCTCCGGAGACTCAGGGTGGCTTACAATGCGTTAAGCAATAGCCTTCATACTTTTGTATATTTTATACAAAGTCAGCTTATTGCCCCCACAATCCGGGTCCTCTTTCTTCCTCTTTCTTCTCCTTCTCCTTCTCCTTCTCCTTCTCCTTCTCCTTCTCCTTCTCCTTCCCTTCTCCTTCTCCTTCTCCTCCTTCTCCTTCTCCTTTCCTTCTTCTACTTCTACTTTTACTTTGAATTTTTCATATGTAGTTTTCAGGACAGTAAGGAAGATACCAAAAGCCTTTTTTTGTTGTTGTGTGTGGGTAAATATATCGATATACATTTACACAGAATGCATCGATTAAGACCTAATGGGTTTTTATTGTTATTGGAAATCTGGGCTGTCTTCACTTGGTGTTGAGGGAAATACAACAGAGGAGGGAAGAAGAGGAGGAGGAGGAGGAGAAGTTTTATTCTGTTATTCTGAGAAGGAGAAGAGGAGAAGGAGAAGGAGCAAAGTATCACCTGTAGAAAAATCTGGAGCCTTGGTTGCCAAAGCTACTAGCTGCCCAGAAGCTTGTAGCCTGCATCTACCGGTAGTAGCTCTACTCAGCTCTGCTCTCTTTCTCTGGCCAGGCCAGGTGCCCATTTCATGCAATCTTTTCCAGGATTGTAAAATGGCCAGAGACCTTATTCTTCCCCCCCACTCCCCCACCCCAAAGTACTAGATTAGCATTTCTGGCCCCGTCAGTCCAGGCGGACAAGTCCAATCTTGGTGGCAGCTGGAAGGTGTGGGGAGGGGTGGGTGTCGAGATATGGACTTGCAGATAAGAGCCCAACTCCAGAGAGGCCCTTACCAAGCCGAACCCTGCTTGAAAGAAAGAGAAGCTTTCAGCAAAAGCTTGGCCAAGGCTATTGCTTCATTTCCGAAAAAAAACCTGTTGACATTCCAAGCATTCATTCTCTTGAATTTTTATTTAAAAAAAAAAAAAAATCGTGTGTACAATACAGCAGTCTGGGTAGGAGCTGTGTTTGCAGAAGCCCAGGGCCAAGCAGAGGAGAAGTCGTAAAGAAAAGAAAGGCTTAAGATCCTTCCCACCCTCTCACTCTTTTTTGGGGCGGGGGGAAGGGGGCAGAGGGCTTGGATTTCAGCCCAGAGGGACACACAATTGACACTTTGATTGCAGGGAGAATTTTGAGTGGCGGGAAAGGAAGACCTGACTGTCGTTTGTCAGAGAAAGAAACATGGCGTTGGAGGGGTGGATTGGCAACTGTTGGATCCGTCCTGGGGAACTGAATCCGACTGAGCCCATGTGGCTGGGCACCCATAACCCTGTTCAAGAGAAGAGCAACAGCGTTGATTAGGGGGCTGGAGGCTGGGGTGAAATGCTCCCGGTTCGGACCAGATCACCCGATCCGGTAGTGATGGCGGCGGGTAGTTCGGAGAACCGGTAGCAAAAATTCCTGCCTTCCCCTCCACCATGCCCAGCTGAGGTGCACGATCATCAGAGGCTTTTTATTTTTATTTTTAAAAAGCATTTTTTCTATAACCTCTTTGGCCGAAAAAATGCTTTTAAAAGTAAAAGGAAAAAAGAAAAAGCCTCTGATGATTGTGTGGCTCAGCTGGGATCGTCAGAGCCTTTTAAAAGCATTTTTTCGACAACCTCTTCGCCGAGGAAGTTGTAGAAAAAAATGGTTTTAAAAGCCTCTGACGACCCCAGCTGAGTTGCCTGATTGTCAGAGGCTTTTAAAAGCATTTTTTTTTTTACAACCCCTTCGGCGAATAAAGAAGAAAAGTGAAAGACATAGAAAAAAACCAGATAGATATACAAAAAGTTATCACCATAGAAAAAATAAGATATACAAAAATTATCACCATGTCAGTTAATACTTCATTGGGTAACCTTTAGCATGAATGATGGCCTTACAACGTCTTCCCATGGAGTGAACCAAATCTTTGAGTTCTGCAGCTGTTATCATGTGAAACCAAGATTGAAGGATGGCTTCTATTAACTGGGTTTTATTGCTGGGTTGTTTCTGACTAACAAGTTTCCTTAGTCGGTTCCATAGGGTTAAAGTCTGGGTTATTCCCAGGCCATTCCAGCAGTGGAATAAGATTATCTTGAAACTCCCCCGACCAAAAAAAAGTGGTGTTATTAGCCACCAAACCTCAAAAATACACTTTTCCCAAAATGTTTCCACAATTTTGGCTGCTACTGTATTACCTACCATTACAGGTTATCCCATCCAGCTTTTGCCTGGGGTTCAACCATGACCTGGCCAATGTTTTTAAAGATTTGCAGCCTTTCACATTATTTTGCAAATAATTCCTGTCGAAGACAAGTCACCAGTCTTGCCTTTAACTCCTGGGTAATTATCAGCGATAATCAGAGCAATTTTAAAAAAAACAACAACAAACCACTAGACTTTAAAGTGTATAAATATTTACTGTATTCCACTGGACTCAAAAAGTCCAGCGGTTTTAAGTGGGAGAGAAGTGACTTAGGAAAGCAAAAAAAATTTTTTGGGGGGGTGGAAATACCCTTACAGGTTCTCTTTACCTAAGGTCACATTTCATAAGAGATCAATTTCAAAAGATAGAAACGAAATCTCCCGTGGGCAAGGATTTCTTCATTTTTGGGAAAAGTTTGTCTTGCAAATCTGCCCGTTGACATTTGCAGTTAAAGGTTGACCTTGAGGTCTCAGGAATCTGGGGGCTACCCCTGACCTTGCTTAATATACAGGTTGTCTGTGGATGACAGGTATTCCACCCCCCACCTCCCACCCCCCAGAGATTGTCTTTTGTCTCTCAAGCACACCCATCCATGTACACACACATTTTTCAGGCTAATTTTCTGGAGCCGAAGCATGGGGCAATCGCTCGTCTGTTAAAACGCATCTGGGTCTGCTTCTGATTATCTTCCCAGCTTGCTGTTTGCACTGATAGAATCGCCCGAAAATTGCAGTTTTTATCTCGTCTGGAGTCCCTGCAACACTCATTCCCCTTCAAGGAAGATATATCTTTTGCTTTTCCCCTTCAAACAGAAGGATTGGGGTCATTTCTGAAGCTATCGTTGACCTTCAGAGTATGTCCTGGGGCATTTCTTGTTCTGCAGACAACCAGAAAGAATGACCAGGATGCCTGAATGAGCTGTGACCCCCATGAAACAAATGGGGCTGGTTGAGCCTCTCCCCGGTCTCAATCACAATAGAGCTGGAAGGGAAGGGACCTTGGAGGTCTTCTAGTCCAACCCCCTGCTCAAGTAGAAGACCCTATATCGAGTAGAAGACCCGATATCGTTCCAAACAAATGGCACTCCAGTCTCTTCTTTTTTTTTTATTGAAAAAGTTTTTCAAATACAAATTTTCCCCCTTTCCCCCCCACTCTCCCTAACCCCCCCTCCCCCTCCCCTCCCCCCATGGCTTCTGCAAGATGAAATCCAAATTAATATCACATTATATAATACTTTATCACCCTTTTACACCACCCCCTATGTGCTTAACATTTCTTTCTAACATTATTATTATATCCCCGGTATACTATACATTTCAAAACAGCATTCGGCTATAAAACTATATAATAGATCTAATTTGGCATTTATTTTACTCATAATCTACCCATTTCCTCCACCCCCCATACGTATATCTCTTAATTCAAATCTTTTAAGTATATTAATATCTAAACATAACATCCCTTTTCCTAAACTAAACAATCAATAACGTCGGTCTGCTCTCCCCAGTCTCAATCACAATAGAGCTGGAAGGGAAGGGACCTTGGAGGTCTTCTAGTCCAACCCCCTGCTCAAGTAGAAGATCCTATATCGAGTAGAAGACCCGATATCGTTCCAAACAAATGGCACTCCAGTCTCTTCTTAAAAGCCTCCAGTGATGAAGCACCCACAACTTCTGGTGGCCAGCTGTCCCACTGTTTAATTGTCCCCACTGGTAGGAAGTTCCTCCTTAGTTCCAGGTTGCTTCTCTCCTTGATTAGTTCCACCCATTGTTTCTTGTCTTGCCTTCTGGTGCTTTGGTAAATAAGTTGACTCCTCTTTGTGGCTAAACCTCTCAAATATTGGAATACATCACCTTTAAACCTCTCAAATACTGGAATACATCACCTTTAAACCTCTCAAATACTGGAATAATCTCCTTAGTGGTGTTTGCAAACCGGGGATCAAATCTCCACAAATAAGGACTCCCATTAAAGTTATGGCATGCATGTTGGTGAGCAGGATAGCTGGAGATGAAAGGAGCAAACATTTTCATTTCGCAATGCTTCACAATTTTAATTTCACGTCCTTCAAGATACGATGTAGGAATGGAACATCAGGCCCAGGTCTAGAGATCTGTGATTCAACGGACCACAAATTCAAGGTGATATTCATTAAAAATGAAAACGGATGAGGTCCTGTCCTTCTCCATCCAAATCTGTTCAAATTCAAGGGGCGAGAGAAACAGGAAGGATGAGATGGAAGAATCTGGAAGCAGCACAAAAGGGTACGTGAGGCTCTATTGGGATCCAGTGGTCGTGACTGGCAGGAGAAGGAGAAGGAGAAGGACAAGGAGAAGGAGAAGGAGAAGGAGGAGGAGAAGGAGAAGGAGAAGGAGAAGGAGAAGAGGAGTGACTGGCAGAAGAAGGATGACTTCAGCAACAGAGTGGTCAATGCCTGGAATGCACTACCTGACTCTGATGTTACATCCTCAACCCCCCATAACTTTAACCTAAAACTGTCTATTGTTGATCTCACCCCATTCCTAAGAGGTCTGTAAGGGGGGGTACATAAGCGCACCAGCATGCCTTCCGTCCCTGTCCTACTGTCCCCATTTATTCGTACCCGTTTCCTATGTTCATATCAGGGGTGAAATCCAGCAGGTTCTGACAGGTTCGGGAGAACCGGTAGCGGAAATTTTGAGTAATTCAGAGAACCGGCAAATACCACCTCTGATTGGTCCCAGAGTGGGGTGGGAATGGGGATTTTGCAATATCCTTCCCCCAGGAATGAGGAGGGAATGGGGATTCTGCAGTATCCTTCCCCTGCTACGCCCACCAAGCCACGCCCACCAAGCCACGTCCACAGAACCGGTAGTAAAAAAAAAAAAAGGATTTCACCACTGGTTCATATCCCTGTTTATACTTATTCCTTCTATCTCGTCCATGTTTGACAAACGAACTAACTA